TCACTGTTTCACTTACAGCCACAGCCCAATTACGCTGGAAGATTTATTTCACATCAAAATAGGACAGGTTTAGTCTATTAGCTGTACCTTTCTGCAGAAGACTGCTATACCTGAATATATTATCAGAAAGAAACTCTCTGGGGTCCAGAGAGATGGCTCAGTAGTAAAGGGTACTTGCTACTCTTGCAGAGGATCTGGGTTTGGTTCCCAGAACCCAATTAGAGGCTAACAACCATCTCTAACTCCAGTTCCAGAGGATCTAATAGCATCTCACGCTCTCATGGGCATAAGACACGCATGTGGTACACATACATACACACACACAAAACACTCATAAACACAAAAAATAAAAATAAATAGGTCTTTTTTTTTTAAGTAACTATCTAAATGTGTTGGAGAATGATCAGAAGACACTGACTCTGATGGAAAGGCAGTATACACTTCCCAGGAAATGGGAAAGAGAGCATGTTCTTCAAATATGTTCACATTCTCTCTGGCTTTTATCCTGGGACTAAATGTGATTTGTAGAAACTGCGGTAAAGGGGTAAACACAGGAAATGTATAGTATTATGGTCCTGAGATCCAAACAACAGGAGCCGGGCAGGGTAAAATAAGTAAACAAACAAACAAATAAATAAATAAGTGAGTGAATGAGTGAATGAATGAATAAATATATATCTGAATCAAATCCAGACTTAACTCTCAAGCAAGGGAACTTGGAGTACGAGCAAAGCCAAGACATTTATCGACTGACAAATGGAAACGACCTTCAGCAAAGAAAAGCAACAGAATGCATAGTCTCCACAAATTAACATTCTGATCTCATCATATACTCTAAATTTACCCAGAAAAAAAATCAAGAAAATAGAATGTGTTTTCAGGAAAAAGCAAACAAGAGGCTGGAACCTCATGGAGGTACTATAAAGGAGCCTTTATACTTATCATCAGTTCACTAAAATGAAACAATTTTTCTGTAAATATAAACAAATATCTAATGGAAGAACAGAGAAATAAAATATTGGGAAGGGTAACTGGGACTGGGGAATGACCAAATGACATTTCTACCACAGTAGAAACAATAAAGACAATGATCAATAGCAAGTTTGGAAACTGGTAAGAAACAACATAACACGTACAGAGGAACTCTGATCTAATTAATGATTGGGTTCTCATCAGAAACTGTAGAGTGAGAATATGGCATTAAAATATTTTCTAATGTTAAACCAGGATTTTAAGAAATATGAATCCCAAATATTCAGGATATTTCCTTTCCCAAATGAGGGCAAAGGTATTTTAAGATCAGGGGAAACTATAAAGGGTTACACCTAGTGTAGCTGCACCACAGAGATACCAGAGGTAATTCTTCAATATATATTCCAAGAATCCTCAAAGTCAAGAACTGAGATCTGCCAGCTGGAAAAGTAAGGAAAAGTGTCCTCCTATGTTCTCCGGAGAAGAGACAACCCTGATAATGACTGAACTGCAGCTTATTAAGGACCATGTGAGGAGTGAGTGAGGAACAGTAGTTTGTGAGTAGAGAGCTTACACATCCTCAAAGCTCTGGGTTAAGATTGTAGTGTAAAAGCAAAGGTCTGTGTGAGATGTCTGACTTAAAGAACAGTGGGATTATCCACTGGTATTGCTTTGATCCACTAGCAAACTGGTAGGGCTGGCAGGAGTTAAGTACAATAAGTTAGTAAAGTAAGGAGAGCACTGGAAGACTTGGGGGTGGAGGAGAACTACAAGGTTGGCAGAAACAGCTGTCTTTCAATAACTACTCCTTTAGTATCTTGAAAAGAAGGGCAGGATTCTTCAGTTATTCAGATTGATTTAAGGTATATTATAAAAACTCTGACCACAGCTAAGGTTCATTACAGCTCTAGCTTCGGTAAAATCAGGATCAGGGATCAGTGGTGAGGGTCAGCACAATTACAAAGAAGCTGACCTCACATCCTCTGCCTACACCAAAACCAGGGACCTAACAGAGAGAGTTTGTTTGGATGGAGAACCCAGAAAATTTGTGGACCACAAAGGCAATAACAGCAAATTCCTTCTTGCTTAACAGAGATTTCCTCTTGACTAAAAACCCCATGAAGGCTTTAACTGAAGCGGGTACTTCATGCAATGATGTCATTTCCATTTTTATCAGCCTAATGGCTAATTCTACATTGAATTTGTCATTTTTCAAACATCAATGAAAGCTATAAAACAGACATAAATAAGTCAACATTCTGAATTTATATGAATATGGGTGCATAGCCTTTGGGAAAGGGTTTTTAATTGTCTCTTGGAGAGAGAAGTACATAAAAGGAGCATGAATGATAAAAGTAATAATAATTTAAGTCAGATTTATATAGTTCATGGAAGCTTATGTCTTCATAAACTTCAGCATTCATTTTGCTCTGGAATTTTAGACAGGAAATGCCATTTGATTTTTTTTTTTGTAAATTTATTTTACAACATCATTTAGTTCAACATAATAGCCACAAAGTCCCCTGTTCTCCCACTCTCGCCCCCTTCCCCCTCCCCCCACCCCACCCCCCATTCCCACCTCCTCCAGATCAAGGTCTCCCCCGAGGACCGGGATCGACCTGGTAGACTCAGTCCACCCAGGTCCAGTCCCCGCCTCCCAGACCGAGCCAAGCGTCCCTGCATAGGTCCCAGGATTCAAACAGCCAACTCAGCGAGAATTGTTGAAGCCAAGGTTGGATAAAGCACAGGGACAAATAACCAAATGAATGGAAGCACAGGATCTATGAACCAAGGGCTGAGGGGCCCCCAACTGGATCGTTGCATGAGTTGGCCATTTGATTTTTTTTTTGAGTTCTCTCCCAGTAGGGGCTGATGTTTGAATACAAAACTTAAGGCAATAAACAGGGAGAACACACCAGTTAGTTCATTTGAGTCCGTTTATATTGCTACAGCAATGAAAAGAAGGAATGTAGTCATTTAACAGGTAATATTCCAGCTGCTTATGACTGCTTTGGGTTCTGCCAAGTGCTTTAAATAAAGGAGGAGAGTCCATCTTTCCAAAAATCTGAATGTTCATTATTACCATGTATATAGCATTATGGAATGTTGGCTCAGAGTCAGAGTTTCAGTTGTAAATAAAAAAAAAATTACCTTCACTCAAGGATCTAGTCCCCAAGTCAACTGAATGAATGATTCTAGCAAGCAAACCCATATCAACAATAACCAGCTAATGTTTATGTATGCAGTGTGGTAACAGGCAAATGAATCAGTGGTATGTCCATTTGTAATAAATATTGCAGAATGAAATTAATAGGCTGTGGAAGCCAAAAATGTTATATTTAAATCCTGTTCTGCAATTATAAGGTGCATAAACTTTGGCAAGCCAATCTCTGCAAACTCAAGCTACCTTTCCTAAACACTGGTATAAAAATTTTCAGAGCATTAAACTATCCATTAACTACAAATAGAGTATATATGTATTAGAAAAATATACTTAAAACCTTCAGGCTGTGTGTGTTGCATGCATCTCTAAAACCAATCCTCAGGGAGTCTAGAGAATGGGATTCCATGTTTGAGGACAACCTGTTTTATATAGCAAGACCCTGTCTCAGAAAAGGAAAGGAAACCTCAGATCCATTCAGAAATCTTTGGATAAATATTGTAGGGAAAAGTTTTATTGCAGAGTATTGCAGCATGATTTGCTGCACATCAAAGGCAGTGAGTGAAGTGACAGAAAGGAGTAAAAGATCCCCAACAGCCAAACAGATACAACTCACTGTGCACACACCCTCAAGGTAAACAATAATCCAGGGTAAGAGAAGTTAACAGCGCCGGGTGGTGGCGGCGCATGCCTTTAATCTCAGCACTTAGGAAGCAGAGCCAGGCGGATCTCTGTGAGTTCGAGGCCAGCCTGGGCT